GACTAATGTCACAAGACTGAACACCTTTAGGTGTGTTCTGATTTATGATGGAATCTGAAGTGATCACCAGCTTCAACCATGGAATTACAAAGATGAGGGGCTGCATTACATGTGCGTCTTCCTCCTGTCTCAGGCTGGAGGTTATTAAACATACCTTAAGATGCAATACCTAAATGTTCTGACTCCAGCCTTTGTTGTTTTTTCCTTATATGGAACAGACAGTAAAAAATCTGGGGGTTTTGCCATGGCTTCATTGTGTGTAAAGCAGTTGTCTGCTTAGATGTAATTCTCAGTATTGTTTTTCTGTATTTAAACCTCTAATATCAATTCTAAGAGGCAAGGTAAGATTTTAAACCAATGCAGAGAGAAGTAGAGAATCTTACTGAAAATCAAATCCATAAGATGGAAGTACAGTCTAGTACAGGCACTGGTTATTAAGTCAGAGGGACAGCAGCACTGCATCAAATCCCCCAGTTCAAGATCTTGCACTGGTATAAATAGCAGGATGGATGTAGCTGCTGCACAACTGGTTCTCTCACAGTAAAAAGCAGAGCTCATACAAAGCAGAAGGAAGTGTGATAGGATTTAAGATGTTTTATAGTTGTATCAGAAATGAAGGATGCATTTTCTACTACCATGTTGACCAGTGCACAGTGACTTCAACATGAGACAGAAGCTTATACTTCACAGATTCTGTCTTAGCACTGATAAGTCTTCATCTCTGCCTTGAAAAAGACCTTTCACTCCCTGCTGCTCCTTTTAGACTATGAAGATAACAATGGAGATATCTAAGGGCATGATGGGGATTGACTAGTTAGTGTGCCAAGTGGGAAAAAAGAAAAACTGCTATAGTGTCAGCGGCTTTTACAGTGACGCTGAAAAAAAAAAAAAACCAAAAAAAAAAACCAGGAGCAATGGCAGCCTCACATACCAATGCTGCAGAAATTACTCTAAATCTGTGTATTAAAAAAAGTCCAAAACTTTGCTCCAGAAGCACTGAAAACAGGATGTGAAATTTGGGCAAACAATAGCTATATTTTCAAAAATAAATTTCTCCAAACCTGCAAAATCCCTGTGTACAATACCATTAGGCTCACAGGACCATGTAGCCACACATCGGGTATCTCCAGGCCCTCTTCTGGAGGCACACGTGGGAAAGGCTAACTAAGCAATGCTCTGCAGACTGCTTTCTCAAAATTAAGTATTATGAATTCACTCAGAGTAGATAGCAGGCAGAACAAAAAGTGAAAATATAACATTTGTATTCATATTTCTTCTTTCTGTTTACACAAAATTCTCTTCTTGGAAACTTAAAGCCCATTCAATTCTATAAACCCCATCTCCAGTGAGGGAGAATCTTCCCCTGATACCAATTGCATCAGTTGGTTGATGGGGTTCTATTTTTATCCCAGTTAGCACAGCTATACTGCTGGATCCCAGCTTCACCTACCTTTGAAATAGCTCAGATCCTGCTAGTTGCATGGTAATGTCAGACACATTTCACTGCAGGTCCAACACACATGTACATATTCAGAGGGAACCCCTACATGGCTCTTGCAGAGTAGAGCTGTGGATTTCTGTGTCTGTATCATTCCTGACCCCTGAGCTACTTTAAAGATAGTTGCATCCAAACCTCTGACAGCCTTCAAGAAGCAGCAGCAGGGCTGTTCTCACACACATGCACCCCAGATGTTGCTGAGAACAGACTCAGATCCATACTGCTAGGCCAGCACTTTCATTTAAGGGCCATGATTGAAATATAAAAATCTTGAAATCCTCACTGGAAAAAACCAGCTTTACTCCCTGGTTTCTACCAACGAAGAGTCTATCTCTGTCCTTATTTGGCTTTTTCTCATCCCAGTAGTCCTTTGACTTAAAACTTTTTGTAGTTGGATTGAACAAATTAACATAAATGTGGTATTTATTTAAAAGTTACACATATTCCTTGTTTCTTCACAGTATGTAAAGTATATATCAAGAAATACCAGAGTGATACAGAGCTACAGAACTGCCTGAGTATAACTGCATTAGCACACAGATCCTCCCTTTCCAGTCTCATTAATATTTCAGGTCATTCCACAGCAAATACATATTCTTGCGAGGCCTTGTTTTCTGTCAGAGGCTACTTTGTGGACTGAAATAGTACTCTTCCTATTCAAAGTCTGATGTGGTTTCTCCAGGCAAAGGAAAAATGAGCTATCATGAAACTGAATTGGAAGCCTGACTTCAGAAAACTTCTGTTAGATTTTGAGAGTACAAAGCAAGAATGTGTTGCCACAGTGGGGAAACTAGTGTGAATTTCCTCTCTTTGCTATAGTCAGTTTAGGAATATCCACAGATAGGCTGGTTTAAAGTGACTGCTCAGCAGTATTAAATTCCCCCTTAATAGACTGATATCCCAGTGGTTTACAAAAATATCTCCTTGGAATGCTTCCAAACATACCAGAGATGCTGGCTGGCTCAGCCTCCAAAACAGTCCTCAGTTAGCAACTTCCAAACTCCACACAAGAATCAAATTGCCTCACTTGAACACAGTTCCTTGACCAGAGTTATTACCTCCTCCCTCTTTAGATGCAATTATGAGGAAAAGTCTTTTTCTGTAAAAGAAAATAAAATGTATAGAGTCTTCAAACAGACCCTGACATAGGAGAGAAATCCCAGGCCAGAGGAAGTAACGCTGTTACTGCTGCTTCATAAATAATTGACAACAGGAATGTTTTGTTTATGCCACACTGTTGTTACCTTTGGGAAATGATCTGAAAGTTTGAGTCTGCTCTGATCTATGTTCCCTGGCACTGACATATGTGTAGCTAAAGCCAGTACCTCTTGGCTTCTGGAGAACATCGCTGTGTTTCTGACCTCTTCTGCCCACTCCATCTTGAAGGTTACCACCCTTGCAACAAGCTGTGCTTGTATTTCAGCATTGACAGATCACGGCCCAGATTCTTTCTGTGAACTAATCAGGGAGCTGCATTTGGCACTCTGTGATAGCCAGCGTGCAGAGACACCTCTCCTTCCACTGCCTCTGCTACAAATAGCTGCAACCTTTAACTGGTGGACAGGACAAGCAGCAAAGGGAAATAAACAGCTCTAAGTGCAGCAGCTAGAGTCAGAGCCTCAGCTCGAATGAGTCAGCATGGCCCCTGCTGTACCACCTATGGGGCTGGCTTTGTTTCTCCATTTACAGGCTGCAAACCAAAGCACAAAGGAAAACTTCCCAACTGCTTGTCATTATTATAGTACAAGTAAAATAGCTAAATCTAAAGCTTTGTCTGAAAGCAGCCAGCATGTGCCTTCCCTTCCCAAGTCCACTAAATATTTACAAAGCCCAGCAGCACTAGGACCTTTTTCAAGACTCTTCTGTGTTTATGACCATGGCCTTTTCCCTCCTGTCAGTATATCAAATGTTGCTACCACTATAGTATTTCAGTGTTGCTAAACAATGCTTGCAAACATCCACTTAGACTTTAAGTAGTTCTTCTAAATTTTATGCAATCTTTTAAGTCTTTCTTTCCCTTGATCAATCCTGCAGATGGTAAGTTTTTGTTTACACTGACTTCTAGGAATAAGTTTTCATTGTATAAATACATTTAAAGCCATTTATAGGCAAATAAGGTGGTGATTATTTCTTGCTTCTTAGCACTAATGTTTTAGTCATCCAATTAGGAAACAAAAACAGTGCAGTGTAATCTACACACAAAATAATCAGACTGAGTGAATGCTGGAAATGCCCAGTTTGAAATACAAGCAAGACTGAAATTTGTTTCCATAACTTGTTGTAAGACCAGTGCAGAAACTTACCTTAATAGAAATCAGTTTTGGCACAAAAATGAGCCACAGTCATTACATAACTTATTCAGAAAAAAGATTGCAGTCAGTGACTTTTTAGTGTTAAGTAGCTTAATCACTTCTTAATGCTAACAGCATTTTATTGAATACCAGGGAAAACATGGAGGATTTTTTTTCTCCTGAAGTTTTCTAGCTCTTTAAATCTTATCTTACAGTATGGGAAGCTTCCTCACTTGTCTTCAGAGATACAGTAAGAAGAGTCTTGTGGAGCTTGAAAAGCTAATTTACTACATACATATCATAAAAACACATTCTTACCTCATTTGTAAGGCAAGAGGAGACATGCTCTAGTGTCTCTTAGCTGGCTAGAAGAGACCACATACACATTGTTCCAATGCATTTGGAAGAAAATTTCTGCTAATTCAACCTTTGTCTTTTTCCCAATGAGGAGATTCATTAAGATATGATAAAAAGTTCACTTGCTTTGCTATTTAATTAAAATCAGATTCATTGTGTGCATAGTTGTGATGCAAGGCACAAGCTAAGTAGGATGAGGTAAAAGTGAGTAGTTAAAATAAGGAGTCCTTGCCTTGCAGGATGAGTGGATAATGAACAATATAATAAATCAAGAATAGTCAAGATAGGGAGTCCTTGCCTTGCAGATGGTATGTATAACGGGACGTGCTGAAATATATAGATAGCACAAAACCAGTAGAGCTAGGTCTGCGGTTTAGATAATGGCCAACGAACAACTGAGCTTGCGCGAAACGCTGGGGTTACAATCGGACAGGAGGAAGAGGAGCGTGACTTCATCCCCAAAGACCCCCACGACCACCACCAGAAAACACTGCGCAGACTCAGCTGGGAGGAGATCATGGAAATGCTAATTTAAATACGAAGCGGGGATAGGTAATGCATATGTATAGGCGTATTGCAAAATATTATGAATATGTAATCATTTACTCTATCAAAGCAAGGTAACAATGCTATAACGGGTGCACACAATAGCAGGAGCTATCCCCTGTGTGCCCAGCGCTGAATAAACATACCAACTTTACAATCCATCAGATTGTGGAGTGTGATTCCGCACGTCAGTTGTATGTTGCAATTCCTACAATATTTGACAAAATGTAAACCACAAACAAAATTAAGAGACATTCCAGGATTTTTCTTTATCAGAGTGCTAAATAACCCTCCATAATTCTCAGGCTCTAAGCAAGACCATAGTAAAACTGGCCTTTCTTCAGTCCATCAAGTCCATCAGTCCAGGTTGAGGTTGACATACTCTGATAGGGGTCAAGAAGAAGTCAGAAGCAGTGAACAATGACTATTCCCAACAAAATAAATAATAAAATCACAAAGGGAAATGTTTTCTGTTCTATGGTCATGATAAAATTTGGTATCATGTTCCCAGATGGCACCAAAGTGTCAGTGAATATGTCTCCATCCATCATACAGGGAAGGTGAAAGAAATAATCCCACAGCTGCCTTCCTTTTGTCATCAGTATGCTGAGGTCAGAATAGAAGCCATTTAGATGCACTTTGCTATCTGTAGGACAAGGGGAAAGCAATGTTAACTGCGAGTAGGTCTTTGGTTTGTTTATTTCAATACAACTTTCTCCTAGTGGAGAAAAAATGAGATGGAAAAGAACTGGACAGCAGGTCTGCTTGTCCCTGCATCATATATAAAAGACCTTTTAGACGTCCTGTACTGTTTTGTTGGCAGTGCAGAATCCAGCCACTGATATCAAATATCACTACACCCTAAACGGGCAGTAACTTCTCCCTACCTACTATGTCATTTGCACTGGAGTAGAACACTTGTTTCCTGCAAGGGGAAAAATTAGGGGTTTAATCACACTGCTCCAGTGGGTAGCACACAGAAATGGTAAATTGCATGCCTTGTTGCAGGACAGATGAGCTGCAGTTGATGCTACTCTAAATTAGCAGAGAGGGCTTTGAAAACCAAATGTAGTTATGGTTTTATACACCAAAAATATTTTGAGGTGGGATGGACCACTATTCACTACAGGCCAATAAAATGCACATGCCCCCATGATGGAAGGCAGAAGCCAATCAGTGCCTGTAACACTGCATGAAAGAAAGGCATAAATAATTTACATTTGAATAAAAGAAGATTTAGGAAGGCAGCCTGAAGTCAAGTAGTAATTTAGCTCAAGGTCAAATGTTTTGTCTTCTTACTTATAATCAGAATCAGGTTTAACACAGTCAGCAAGAAAATGTTTTTTATGTCACCGGCTCTGCCACATCAAGAGCATCACCAGGATTTAAGACCGAACTTGGCTGTTTCTAGACAGCAGAGCATATGCTGTGCTACCGCCTGCCTGGCACATCTGCTCTCTTGACTGTCTGGATGTCTACCTGCTACTACTTCCTCCTCACTTGCACACAAGACTTTAGGTTCAGTGGTAGGGAAGCATTGCTAGATTCCACAGTTTATGCCTGGTCATTTGCACCACTGAAATCACCTGTAAAGTGTCCTCAGGAAAAGAGATTTTATGCTATAGATTATATGCAGTAAAATACTAAGACTAGATTGCAAAACTGAATGGAATGTATTTCTGAGCCTTGGGCTTCCAGACAGCCTTCTGGGTGTGCTCATTACACTGAATAATTGCAAGCTTCTGGGGGCAGGCAATTTGTCTTCAGAGAAAGGCACAATACCTGGCATCCTTTGCCCTCTTTAGACCACTTTTTTTGCAAGCTAAAACTTAAATGAGACAACCATTTCCTTTGTGACAAAATGCTGTTTAACTATCCCCACTTATACAAGCACATGGGTACTTGAAAGAAGTTAATTAGCTAAAGATATTAATTGGGTGTATCTATATGCACAAGGCATTAGGCTTGGAAGCACCTTGGCACAGCAATGTGAGCTTCCAAACTCCTGGTCTCTGGTCATTCACCTGGAGCAACTGGTGTAAGGGAGTCACAAGCTCCACATCTTCCTCCCTGCCCATCACTTTCTGTTGTGTCAGCTGAGCTCTACTGTCACTGGGCACCAGAGACTCTTTTCAGCTGGAAACATTCCCTATCTAGGAGACTCTACAGAGTGTACATGGCAACATACCCTTAAACTGTATTTCCTTGCATGAGAACGTCTACACTCCTTGCAAAAGTTCCACCAGTGTGCTTGAACTCCATCCCACCTCGGTGGCACTGATCAAAGCCTGACGGAGAGGACAGGAGCCTCGAAGAGGGTGCTGAGGAGCTGCAATGAGAGGCAAAAAGGCCATTCCCCAAGGCATGAGGGAGATTTCTGCTCAATGATCCAACTCTAATGCAGATCCCAAGAGGCAAGAGATGAAAGCATGTATGGTGCACACTATTGGTATCCCCTTTTCAGCACAAAGGTATCTATGCAGGCAAAACGAATAAAACATACATATTGTAACAAGGGAAGTGGTACCAACCAGATAATAGTAATAATAAAAACACAGCCTGAATGTGTTCCTTTTCAGCTTGTTCCAATCACTAAATTCTAAGCCAGGCTATATCATGGGTGGAAAAGCCTCAAGATTGTTTAAAAGTTTGTTGATGTAACCAAGATTCCTCTAGGTGCAGAACTGCTGCTTCTTTTTTTTTTTTTTTCCCCCCTCATATCTCAGATTAAATCATAACTGATAGAACAAACAGATTATCCTTCACTTAAATGACTAGCCCTGAATATTTTTTTTTTTAATGTAGAGGTGCCCACTTCTATTTCTTTCTGTTCTTTGCACATATGTCTAACCCTTTAATAAGGACACAGTTGCACATCACTATATCCATATCAGGATATGGACATGTCATTGTGCACACATCCATTAGGTCATTCAATTATAATTCTCCCTGAGGTGGTGCTTATGGTCTAAGATGCTATATTTTTAAAGAAATAAAGAAACAGAGTAAAACTTGCATCTTGTTAGTGGCATTAAATTGATAGGTTAGTCCTTGGCACATCCTAAACCGTAACAGTATTCATATAGTTTCAGGTGCCCACCCACAAACCAATAGCTGAACTATGAGCACATGAGCCTGGTCAAATGTCACTAAAAGATAACTTTTCAGGTCAAGCCCCTAAGATTTTTGCAGTTAAAATGTCATTGGATTAACTAGTTGATAGAGCTATCTACACATTTGTATGAAAGACACAAATTCTCAGGACTCTGACAAAGCACCTTTGATTGGTCTTTCTGTGCTTTCAGCATTTCATTTGTTTCAAAGTTCACTTTAACTGAAAATTGCCATATGTTAAAATGGTTTCCTTAAGGATATCCTTAAGGATAACAGTTTAAAGGTTCTTACTTTGAGAGCAATAGGGCTAACGGAAAGAACGGCTTTAGGATCTGCACCTCTAGGAACTTATTTACAATTAACTGCCCCCTCTTTATCACCATGTACAACATAAATTGCATTGTGTATCAACACCCATATGTTCTTACTGTGAAAGACTTGTATGTTGGTGAGTAGTCGTAGCCAAATAGACTGTAGGAAATCACAACTCAGTTGGCTGAGTAGAATCTTACTTGTACCCATTTTGCCAATTTCTGTATCCTACCTGTTCATAAACTTACGTATCATCCCATCCATGTAGCTGCAATATGGCAGAAATCCTCTGAGACACAGAAGCTCTGGAGCTGAACTTTCAGTCTTAAATTGCTCCAATACAGTCGGAGGTACACACAGGGTGCTGGCCCTGTATTTTTCAAAATGGTGAGGAACTGGTAGCCAAAGAAACTGGAAGACATCCAGACTGAACTGTGACATACACAATCTATGTGTGCATGCATTTAAAGCAAATATTTTAATTAAAAACATTAAAACATTAACAATGAAACACCATAGAGTGGCAACATCTGTTTATTGCTGGCTTTTGACAGATCATTTACTAAACAATGTTCCATGTAAATCACATAAAACAAATAGAAAACAAGCAAGTTCAGAGGATTAATATGACCATCAGAAAAACATTTGAGTCACAGGGGCTTGCAGCCTTACTAACTAGATGAAAGGCCAAATTTCCTGCTACTGCAGCTATCTGTACAGTTCTGCTGACTTAATTACCATCTTGCCCACTTACAGTTTTGGCCCTGTAAAATTTGATTGATAAAAATTACAGTTGAGCAATAAACACATCAAGACATTAAGCATCAAGACATGTAAACACATTAAACAGGAAATTTTCCTCTCTTTTGCCCTTCTTTTTCACTTAATGATTTACTAGCCTAATCCTGTGACTTCACTGGGTGCCTCACAACATATACCTGATATGCAGGTATGCTATAGTGGAGCAATGGGTTTTCCATTATGAAATATCTCATGGAATGTAACAAGCACACAGCTGTGCCAAGACCATGTGCATGATTTTCCTATACCACCCATACTAGTTTCACTGATGACTCACTTCCTTAGCTACAAAAACACATGGCAAGTTTTTTCATGCTCAAACATCTGTACACAAACCATTTCATCAAATATATTCCCATGCACTCACAGCTCAGTTGCTGTGATTGATTGACATTTTAAACCTATCTTAAATAAATAAAACTTGATTAGAAAAAGTACCAGGCTAACAAAAACACATGCCCTTCTCTTGCACCCAAATGTGTCTTACGTTCCTTCATACTGTATCCTGTACTGTTGTTTGCTGCACAGTCTAAATGGATATATTAACAATGCCCTTTTCACCTGTACTTCATCTTTCCTTCTCACAAATTTGATATCAAGTTGACATTGCCTTTCCCCTGCAGGCACATAACCTCATCATCTCTCAACTGCTTTTAAGGACAGATCTTTGTGTGCAAAAAGAGACCCTTGGTGCACCATGCAGCTGTTGATATTGTGAAAGGAAGTTGATGGGGTTAATTTTAGCAATAAAACAATGCTAGGAAGGGATCTGTTCTTTCTTTATAGACCCTCTCCAATATCATGCACCTCACTTTTACTTAATGCACTATGGAATGTTTAAAATACAAGCTCATCCTTAGCATGTTAATGTGCACACAGTATTTTGAATTCCTCTATATGAACGCTGTGAGAATGATTTATACACAAAAAGCGGTCAAAGTTATTCTAAAAGTTTGAATTACTGCTTTTACTGAAGTAATTGCTAGCTTTATGAGATAGTACTTGGGAAGATCTGAAGGTATGAATCTGTGAAACATCAATATATTTACACCATCCAGGAATCTGTGCAATGGTTTGAAAAATGTACCCAACAGACCATTTTCCTTCCACTGTATACACTCTTCTTTTAAAAAGAGAGTGTACAGATACACAGGCATCAGTATAGCAATACATGGTTAATATCCTTATAGGCTGGATCCTACATGAATCAGCAAGTTGAAGATTTTTTTGTCTTAACAGTCATAAATCCTTACCAAAAAAATTTTTGTAGCTCAAAATTACAATAAATGGATTTTAAACTACCGTTTCTGGCATCAGTAAAAGTTGAACTGTAATACACTTCCCAGAAAATAAACAGGGAATATACAACAAT